AAGGGGGAGGAAATGGGGTCAATAGCTCCCGAACGCATCCTAGTGGTCTTGGGATCAACGGCCCTTCCTGATCCCTAACACTCAGTGGGCCTCCATGGCTGACTCCCAACAGAAATGCTGACCATGGCTTCCCCCATCTCTGCTAGGCCCCACACCATGGGTCTCACAGTCAGAGACTGTGGTCGGCAGAATCGTGACCCCACAAAGATGTGCGAAGCCCCAGAACCTGGGAATATGTGTCCTCGCATGGCAGAAGGGACTTTGCAGGTAAGATTAAGCTGTAGGTCTTGATGGGAGAGCAGCATGGATGTCCCAGGAAGGTCTGCTGTCATCACAAGGTGGAGGGGGGAAGCAGAAGTCGGAAGGCAAGCAAAGGGCCTCCCTTTATGCCTTAGGGCCCAGCCCTGCAGACAGACATTGCTGGGCCTCGTGAACTTTGAGAGTTCACTTCTGTGATGTTAGGTACTCCAGGATGCAGACATGACCAGGACTTGGTACTGGGAAAAAAGGGTGCTAGTTTCTTTTTCTTTTTTTTTTTTTTTGAGTTGGAGTCTTACTCTGTCACCCAGGCTGGAGGGCAATGGCATACTCCCGGCCACTGCAGCCTTGATCTGCTGGGCTCAGGTGATCCTTCTGCTTCAGCCTTCCAAGTAGCTGGAACTACAGGTATACGCCACCATGTCCAGCTAATTTTTTTTTATTGTAGAGATGAGGGCTCACCAAGTTGCCCAGGCTGGTCTCGAACCCGTGGGCTCAGGCAATCCTCTCACCTAGGCCTCTCAGAGTGCTGGGATTATAGGTGTGAGCCACTACGCCCAGCAGGTGGTAGTTTCAGTCCCAGTGTCACCTGGGTACTAGGGGCTGGCCCTGAGCATGGAGAGAGGAGGAGCTGACCGGGAGAGGGCTGAGCACTGCACTTGGTCAGGGGCGGTTTCCTTGCCTGGAGGCCAGTGCCCCTGCCTGGGTCCCATGACAGGTCCATGTTCCAGCAGCAGGTCCCAGTGGAATGTATGTGTTAGGTCACAATTCCAAAACATTGGGTCAGACCCATCAGGAGGATTGGCTATCCGGTGCCATGCAAAAGATGCAAAGAATTGCACAGAAGTTAGATTGGGAAATACAGTTTATTTAGAAAGTAAATGAGAGAGAGAAGATTCACATGCCCAAGGTAGGGGAGGGAGGCAAAGCTTGGGGAAACATGGTGGACATAGCTCAAAAAGCCACATGGGCACACCAGAGTTTAGTAGAGTGATGGTAAATGACTGCTTGAGCTTTTTTTTTTTTTTGGAGTTGGAGTCTCACTCAGTTGCCCAGGCTAGAGTGCAGCGGCACACTCATGGCCACTGCAGCCTCCACCTGGTGAACTCAGGTGATCCTTCTGCCTCAGCCGTCCAAGTAACTGGAACCACAGGCATGCCACCATGCCCAACGGATTTTTTTTTTTTTTTTTGAGTTGGAGTCTCACTCTGTCGCCCAGACTGGAGTGCAGTGGCTGCTACCGGCCACCGCAGCCTCGACCTGCTGTGCTCCAGCAATCCTTCTACCTCAGCCTTCCAAGTAGCTAGAACTTCGGGCGCGCACTACCACGCCCGGCTCATTTTGATTTATTATAGAGATGAGGTCTCGCCAAGTTGCCCAGGCAGGTCGGAAACCCATGGGCTCAGGCAATCCACTCACCTCAGCCTCCCAAAGGCACGGGATTACAGGCTGAGTCACCGAACCCAGTTAGGTTGGAGGCTTTTAAACCTTCCCTTTGATGGGGCATGTCATTAAGGTGACTGGGTGGTGGTCTGTTCCATGTCATCACAAAGGGGACAGGTAAGCACAGGTACTGGGATCAGGTAATGCATGGCAGGCAGATGGGTGGGCCAGTCATGTGACTGCTGCTATGGTGATGGGGTCTGCCAGGAAGATCAGGAAGGGCTGATTAGGTTAACTTGATTACAAACAAGCTGGGGAGGGGATTGTAAAACAATTATCAATAGCCACCTCTGGTTCTGTCCTTGACCAGTGATTACAGGGTAAGTTAAAGTAAACTGCTAGAAAGACATGACAGAGTCTTGGCATGGTGGCTCACGCCTATAATCCCAGCACTTTGGGAGGCAGAGATGAGAGAATTGCCTGGGCCCACAGGTTCGAGATCAGCTTGGGCAACTTGGCGAGACCTCATCTCTACAATAAATCAAAAAATTAGCCGGGCATGGTGACGCGTGCCTGTAGTTCCAGCTACTTGAAGGGCTGAGGCAGAAAGATCGCCTGAGCCCAGCAGGTTGAGGCTGCAGTGGCTGGGAGCATGCCACTGCCCTCTAGCCTGGTGACAGAGTGAGACTCCAACTCACAAAAAAAAAAAAAAAGACATGACAGAGCAAAGCAGTGCTAAAATCGCTGTACTTCAACTGAGATTATTTCAGTAAGTCATTCCATGTTGGCTTCTCCACCCTTTCAGTCTACCTCTTTGAAGTGACTTCTCTTACTCATAACTGGAAAGTCCAACAACAGAAACAAGAATCTCTTTCTCTGCTTTTAATGTCAGAGTCACATGTGACCCAACTGCCACAGTGGCCCCATCACAGCACTGGCTTGCCGGCATGAGTGTGCTGGATCTAGGAGCGCGTGCCCTCTGCAGCCACCCGGAAGGATGCGCGGACCTTCCGGTCCATCAGGGGCTGCAGCAGGCGATAGTTGTCCACCATCAGCTTCTCCTCTTCACCAGGTGCAGAAAACAGGAGGGCACGGAAAGCGGAGAGCTGGGGAGAGTGAGGCCAGTGTGACATGGGGCAGGTGTTGGGGGAGCCTGCCCCATGTCCCCAGGCCTCAGGTGATCCCCTCCTGTACGGAGGCAGGGAGGCCTGAATGGCCTGTCCCTTTGGTGGAAGGCAAGGTGTGAGCCTCCCATGGCCAGGTCACAGAAGCATGGCAACTACCTCAGGTCTTGGGGTCACTTGCTTGGGGAAACTGGTCACCGTGTTGTGAGGACACAAGTTGTGAAGACCCTCTGTAGCAGGAAAAATAGAGAGATCGTGACACCGAGACTATTATAGGAAGTGGCACTTTATTACGCTGGCTAGCACTAGCACAGCAGGCCCAAGAACTTCATGCATTCAAATTAAGCTTGAGCACCCCAGAACAGGTGACCTGGGGTTTTATACCCTCGTTTAGGTAAGGATGGGGGTCGTGTTGAGTGATTACATATTTCCTTTGGAATCTTACAAGGTTGTACTCAGCAAAATCAGATTTTTTAAAGAACAAATGGTTTCCAGGAA